TGTGAGCCACCATGTGGTTGCTGGGAATTGAACTCAGGACCTCTGGAAGAGCAGTGAGTGCTCTTAACCTCTGAGCCATCCCTCCAGCCCTAAATCTTTCTTTTATAAAAGGATCAAACAGGATATGACTATGTGACAGGTCACTCATCTGTCAAGAAAGAAGTAAAAATTAGACCACAGGAAATGCCTTTTGCGCCTCCACACTGACAACACAAGGGAGTCTGATGATGGCCAGGGCAGGGAAGCTGTCAGTCATTAAAGCAGTCGATGCCAGCAAGAAGGAAGCAGCATGACAGACAACGCTCAGAAAAGCGTGTGCCGCCACGCCCACCTAATTATTGTATTTATTGCCTGGCTCAGCTATGTGCCTGGCTGCAAAGGTTAGCATCTAACAATCATATAAGGTCTGAAGTGGCAAACCTCCCCCCGCCCTTTGCTAGAGATGCCCAACATTCCAGGTAGAAGCTGCTCCCTCCTCCCAGGAACTAGAGACAGCTTACAAAGGATGCAGATGTTGTTTGTGGAGACAGACACGCACAGACGTTGTTTACGGTGTTGCTAAGACGGAACTCCTGAACAGCGCAGTCTGGGGCAGGAAGGGTTTATTTGGCTCCTGCTTTCGGGGGGATTTTGGTCCATCGCAGCAGAGAAGGCATGGCACCAGGAGTATATGGTGGCATGCGCAGCAGCAGGAGCAGCCGTGGAAGGCTCCTTCACGCTGAGTGGTTCAGGGAGCGGAGAAAGCAGGCTGGGACCGGGGACCTGTAGAACCGTCAAGGGACTGCCCTCAATCTCCTGCCGGCCAGGCTCACCTCCTAAAGACTCAGCAGCCACCAGCCGGGGTCCAAGCATTCAAAGCTTGTAACAGACAGAACCACAGCTAGAAGGGGCCTGTGATCACAGTAAGAGGTGAATTTGGGGAGCGAGGGAGATGCTAATCCGGTTAAGCGCTTTTTGCGCAGGCGTGAGGACCGGAGTTCAGTCCTCAGAATCCACGTGAAAAAGCTAAGTGTGGTAATGTACACTTGTGGTAAACCAAGTGTGGTAACGCACACTTGTAATCCCAGCTCTGGGGAAGTGGGGCCTGGGAGAACCCTGGGGCTCCTGGGCCAGCCAGCCAAGCCCTAGATCAGTAAGAGATCTGAAGAACAGCACTCGGGGTTGATGTCCGGTTCTCTCTCTCTCTCTCTCTCTCTCTCTCTCTCTCTCTCTCTCTCTCTC